AACAGCATGAAAAACATCATCAGGATGGAATATGCTAATGCTTTGTGCCCAGCATGATAAAAATCTACTGTGTTGTGTAGGAAGATGAAGTGCCTCTTACATAGCAGGGTTGCCCTCCCCAGACTCCCAGAGCTATAAGTATAAGGGACCTTGAGGGCTCATGGGATCATAGAGTTGGAAGTATGACAGAGGTCATCTATTCCTCATTTTACGGAGGAGGAAACAGGTTTGAAGACAATGTGTGATTTGCTTAAGGTTACAGATAGTGACAGAGAGAGCTAGGATTCTAGTCTGGGGTCTGTGATTCCAAATTCCAAGCTCTTCTAATCCAAACCCCTGCCTCTAGGCAAGAAAAGCAGCTGACCTGAACAGAAAAGCATCTATCTGTTCATTTCTCAAAAGTCTCCAGAAAAGTAAATTCCAACATCTCTCTTGATTACATAGCTAGTCTTTTTTAAATTTCTTACAACCATTGACTTCACATCTATATAAAATTGCTTGCTTTTTCAAAGAGAGAGGAGGGCAAAGAGGGAGGAAGAGAATTTGGAACCCAAAATTTAAAAAAAGAAATGTTAAAAATAGTTTTTAAAGAATTGTTTTAAAAATAAAATATCAGGGGCAGCTAGGTGGCACAGTGGAAAAAGTACTGGCTTTGGAGTCAAGAGGACCTGCATTCAAATCCAACCTCAGACACATAACACTCATGTTACATGTGACTCTGGCCAAGTCACTTAACCTCAACTTTGTGTAGTCAGTTTCTCAATATCTATCCTAAATCCTTACTGCTGTATTATATTTATATAATGTGCTGTTGCTTATGTGTGCTGCCCCGGTGTTTCCTTTCTCCTCAGTGAAGTAGGGGTTGAAAGTATAATTAGCCTTATTTTGCAGATGTGGAAATAGACAAAGGGAAGTGGATGATTTTTACCACTTTACACAGCCAGGAAATTGGGAGAGCTGGGAACCAAACCCAGGGCCACACACACACACACACACACACACACACACACACACACACACACACACACACACACTGGCCCGGATCAAGGACTAAGTCCGTAACTCAGACTATTAAATGGTCCTTCTTAACTTTGGTGCCTTCTCTCTCTTGATTACCCTCAGTCTCGCCCGTAGCTGCTGTTTGTACACAGTTCGTTGCGTGTTGTCTCCCCTATTAGACTGTGACCTCCTTGAGGGCAGGGACTGGGTCTTTCTTTTTTCTTTTCTTTTCTTTTTCTTTTTTTTTTAATTTTTAGGCAATTGGGGTTGAGTGACTTGCCCGGGGTCACATAGCTAGTAAGTGTCAAGTTTTTGGTCTGAGGCTGGATTTGAACTCAGGTCCTCCTGACTTCAGGGTCGGTGCTCTTTCCACTGCACCACCTAGCTACCCAACTAGATCTTTCTTTGCCTCTTTTTGTTCCCAGCTCTAAGTACAGTCCTTGGCATATAGCAGGTGCTAATAAATGCTAGCTGACCAACTGACTTATTACCTGGGACAATGAGAAGTTAAGTGACTCGCCCGTGGCTTGTTGTCGTTCAGTCGTGTTTGTGACCCCATCTGGGATTTCCTTGGCAAAGATACTGGAGTGGTTTGCGATTTCCTTCTCTAGCTCATTTTTTAACAGATGAAAAACTGAATGACTTGCCCAGGATCACACAGCGAGTAAGCGTCTGAGACTGGATTTGAACTCAGATCTTCCTGATTCCAGGGCCAAAGCTCTATGCACTATGCTACCTAGCTGCCCATGGCTACAGAGCTGGCAATTTGGCAGATAGAACTTAACCTGAAGTCTTCTTGTCTCCAAGACTGGTGTCTCTATTCACTCTACCACACTACCTCCCATTATTAATCATTAATAAGAATGGTTACTTATAGGGGGTTTCCCAAAAGTCTTAGTGCAGTTTTAAGCCTTAATAGCTTAAAACTGCACTAAGTCTTTTGGGACACCCTATTACAAAGCTCATCACATACATTATTTCATTTGATTCCTACAGCCACTGTCCTCATATGAGGTAGTAACTGCAGTTACTATCATCATTTTACAGATCAAAAAACGGACCGAGAGGTTGTTACTTGTACAGGGTCACATAGCTAGTGAGTGTCAGAGGAGAAATTTAATCCTAGGTGCTTTTTTTCATACAAGTTGGTTTCCCACTGCACTGAGTGGCCTTGGTTGTTTAACCTGGAGACGAGGAGACTAAAGGGAGATATTCAAGCTGTTTTCAAATATTTGAAGAGCTATCACATCAGAGAAGGGATAGAGGCTTGTTTTGTGGAGCTGGAACAGGCAGAAATAGAATCAATGTGTACAGGTTAACTGGGAACTGATTCTGGTTCAGTGAGTGCTAACTTTAACGACTTAAGCTGTTCAGCAGTGAAACAAGCTGCCTTAATAGAGAGGGAATGGAAAGCTTCATTAAAGCCAGAGGGAAGTTGGTGGGGTTAAGATGAAGGCATTGCCTGTTCACTAAGGACTGTAAGGAACAGCAGTGGTGGTGGTGGTGGTGATGGTCAAGGGTCATGGTCTGCACAACTGGGGTGGACTACAGAGCATTTGTCTTGTGACGGAATGTCAAAACGCTTGAGGAAGAAATTCCTACCTTGTCACAATTGCAGTAAACTTGCTTTCCTAGAGAAAGGCCAGCCTGAAGGAACTACAGCACTGCAATGTGTGTGCTGCTTAGGGAGCAGCACAATATATATGTATCTGTGTGTGTGTGTGTGTGTGTGTGTGTGTGTGTGTGTTTATACATACATACACATATACACGTTTGTATGTGTGTATATATGCACATATATAAATATATAGAATATGGGGTGCATTGTACCAGCATTTAATTTACCAAATTCAAACTATATGCCATTGATTTCTTAAAAAAAGAAAGAACACTTTAAACAGTGTGGGTGATTTCGTCCATCATTTTTACTCAGTGAGGGTAGGTATATGCCCTGCAGAGAACATGAGATGAAGGATGTGGATCTACTGTTCCCTCTGGTTCCAGATTCCAGAAAATCCTCTTCCTCTTACCCAGAAGGAGCCTATTCTATCTGCTTAGGCTGGTAGAGCTAATGAGGGCAACAGCTTGAATTGACCAGCATTTCTGGTCAACTAGAAGGCTCCGATGAACTTTGCATCCTCTTTTGATTCACAATTAAGCAGGAAGAAGAAACAGTTATATGATGGTGTGATGATCACCCTTTATAAAATTACACATGTGTGAAGCCCATTTTTAGGGTGTTTCTTCCCTAATCTGTTTTTTGTTTTCCTCTTTTTGCAGGGAAGTCCTGATTTCTCTTCTCCAACTTAGTGGGGTGGTGTAAAAAATTAAATTTACATTCAACTGTTTTTATAGTTACCATTCCACATTCATATGTTCTCTCATATAGATTGCCTTTTAAAGAAGGCCTAGCTGGGAGGATTTTTAACCAAACAATGGATGGAAGCATTACAAAAGATAGACTAGATAATTTTTGTTATATAAAATTGAAAAGCATTTCCATGAACAAAATCAAAGCAAGTAGGATAAGAAGGAAAGCTGTCAGTGGGAGAAAAAAGTCTTTGTATCAATTATATCTGATAAGAGCCTGATATCCAAAATATGGAGGGAAGTAATATAAATATGTAAGACCAAGGCTCATTCCTGAATGGATATGAATAAACAGTTCTCAAAAGAAGACTTGTAAATTATTAACAACTACATGACAGATTTCTCCAGATCACCAATAGTAAGAAAAATAAATTAAAATCACTCTGAGGTTTCATGTCATGTTAACACATTGGAAAAGATGACAAAAGATGGGAATGAAGTAGTCAATGTCGGAGGCATTCTGTGAAGACAAGCATACTAAGCATTGCTGGTGGAATTGAGAATAGATCCAACCATTCTGGAAAACAATTTGAAATTATGCTAATAAAGGGGCTGAAGTGTCCATACCCTTTGAACTACAGATCTCATCATTAAGCAGATACCTCAAGGAGGTTAAAGATAGAAAGATCCCATATACACCAAAGTAATTATAGTAGTGCTTTTTTGATAACAAAGAACAGGAAACAAAGTAGATACTCATCGGTCGGAGAATGGCGAAACAAATTGTGGTATACTAATGTAATAGAATATTATGACCTTTAAGAAGTGATCAATATGAAGAATATAGACATGCATAAGGGAGAGGAAGGAAAAAAATTATATAGTACTTACTACATGCCAGGCGCTGTGCTATGCACTTTAGAAATACTATTTCATTTGATTCTCACAATAACTCTGGAAGTTGGTGCCATTATTATCCCCATTTTTCAGTTGAGGAAATTGAGGCAAACAGAAGTTTAAGTGATTTGACCAAGGTCACACAGTAGTGTCTGAGGCTGAATTTGAATTCAGATCTTCTTGTCCCTATGCCCCATACTCTATCCATTGCACTACCTACTTGATAAGACTTCTGTGAACTCATGTGAAATTAAGTAAGCAGAACCAGGAAAACTATACATAATGATTGTAATAATATAAATGAAAATTTTAAAAAATGAGACAATGCTGGGTGATTATTATAATTAGAATTATAATAATAAAATTTGGCCCAAAAAAGATAGGAGAACATGTGCCTCCATATCTTCTTTGTGAAGGTGAGGGACCACAGGTGCAGAACATCATATATGCTATCAGACTTAGCTTTTGTGTTGCTTTGCTTTGCTAACCTGCTCCTCCCCTTCTCTTTGTTTATTTGTTAATCTTTGTAATGACAGATGGGGGAAGGTCAAGATATATATCTGGAAATGAAGGTGATATAGAAACAAAAGATAGCAATGAAATTTATTTTTAAAATGAAGAGACCATAGTCATTTTCCAGTTACAATGCCTGAAAAGAATTCTATTGTAGTTTATAGGCAATTCAAGGGATTTTCAAAAGCAATTTTGATTGTGATTCTCACGCCTACATATTGACTTTATTTTAAAACATATTTTATTTATATTTTCACATTTCAATTCTATGTTGACTTTAGAACTTAGCCCCTGAGGAAGATGGGATTCCACTGTGATAAAAGGAGCACAGAACAGGGAATCCAGAGACCTCAATCAATCAATCAATTATAATGAGGTAAGTGCTTTGAAAAACCCTTAATTCGAGTTGACAGAAGTTTCCTTGGGACACTGAGGACACATATTTCCAAACTATTTTTGGAGCCACGTAGGTGACAACGTCCCCATGCTGAGCTACAGAAAGAGTCAGAACTCAAAGAGGCTCACTCTACTATTGGTGTCTGCAAGAATCCAGGTGGGTACCTGAGGTGAAAGGGATTGTGGGTCCTCTTTGGGCACGCCTCCCAGGGAAGCAGCCAGTATCAGGCACATCACCTAAGAAAGACTGGACAGGAGCCATCTGGGCCTGTACTGAGATGAACAATGAATTGGCAGACTTAATAACTGGTAACCTACAATTCTAGGGTAAAGAAAGGCATTAATTGGCCTAATCAAGGTCCTAGATCTTGATGAACCTTTCCAATCACAAAGATATCTCCCCTTCCTCACCTTCCACTGTATTGGGCAACACTCTCCCCCACCCCCACACATATCATGGCACTTGTCAATATTGTTTTATGTGGCTTTTTAATTGTTTCAAGTGTGTCCTGTTCCTCCTATGCCTAGAACCCTGTGGTTTTGTTTTTGTTTTTGTTTTTTGAGGCAATCAGGATTAAGTGACTTGCCCAGGGTCACACAGTTAGTACTTGTCTGAGGCTGGATTTGAACTCAGGTCCTCCTGACTACAGGGTCAGTGCCACCTAGCTGCCCCACCTTCCCCCAGCTCATTAATTAAGCACCAGTGGTGTTGAGCACCGCTGGAGGATAGCCAAAGTTTAGGCAAATTCCTTCCTTCTTGGAACTTAACATTTTAGTAGGTGGGATATGACACATACACAAATAACTATTGTAAAAAAAAAAAGCTGTGTAAGGGAAGCACAAGCAAAATACTATGAAATGTTCTCTTCCCTTTCCTCTCTGTCTTTGACATCCTGCATATTCTTCAAGGCGCAGATCAGATGCCACCCACCTCCTCCAGATAGTCTTCCCTGATTTCTCTTCCCTCAGGCATGAGTAATCTTTCTTTCCTCAGTCTTAAATAATCCTTGGTAATCCACAACTCCTAAATTTGTAACATAATTTATGTTGCACTAGATTTACTTTACCTGTTCTCTCTCCCCAAATGGATTGTGAGTTTGGGGGAGCACCCACTGTACCTCAATCATCTTTTCATTACTCGGCCTATTGCAGCACCTTGCTTATTGTCAAGCTTAACATGGGGTTGATGAGCTCAACTGAAGGCAACATTTGTCTCACAGACATTTTTTTTTAATCCCACATAGCAGGCAAGCTCCTTGCTGGGCACAGGATGGCTGCTCAACAATGCTTCCTGAATGAAATGTATGCATTTCACACCTTCTTGTGAAGTTTACACACCTTTTTCCCATTCACTGTGAGCCTAATTAGGTCCTAAGCTTTGAGATGTGGGGAAATGAATTTATGAACAGAAAGCATCAGTAAATCCTTGGTCAGAAGGGCCTTTTCTTACCTGGGGAGGCAGTTCATTCCCAGGTATCAGGAGTTTAATAGGGCCTGCTGCTGGTACTGAAATTCCTCTAATTCTGTCATTTAAACTTTTTCCTCCTTGTGCCTTCCTCTCCTCCAGCTTGCTCGCCCCACTACATCAGACAAAAACTTCTTAGGGCCTTGCTGCCAGCCATCTATTAGGGACGAGAAGTCTATGAATGTAGAGGAAATGTGGGTTGCTTTGTTCTGGCAGTGCAAGGCTGCTCTCTGTGGTTCCAGAAAGATGAAATTTCTCTTCCTTCCCAGTGCTTTTTATCTTAGAATTTCACAGCCCTATAGTATAACCACAAGGGGACAAAGGGAAAGAAATCCTGAAGCCTTTCAAAAGAATGGCGGGTAGCTACTGTGATGCCATTTTCACTTAGGAGTAAACAGGGACCTGGAGAGACTAGAACAATGACAATGACAGACATTTCTATAACTTTGAGGTTTGCAAAATGCCTTATATTCGTTTGATTCTCATAATACCTTGTGAAATAAGTACCAGGGTTATTATAATTTCTATTTTGCAGATAAGTAAACTGAGGGAAATTGAGGGACTTGCATAAGGTCCCACAGGTAGTTAGTGTTCAAAGTGGGATTTGAACCCAGGTCCTCTGACTCGAAAGTCAATGATCTTTCCACTGTATGTTGTTATAGTTCGGTTGTATCTGACATTCTTTGTGACCCTAATCTATATTGTCTGTGGGGTTTTCTTGACAAAGATACTAGAGTGGTTTGCTATTTCCTTCTCCAGTGGATTAAAAAGAGATTAAGTGTCTTGCCCATGGTCACAAAGCCAGTGAGTATCTAAGGCCAGATTTAAACTCAGGTCTTCCTGACTCCAGGTGTAGCGCTCTACCCACTGAGCCACCCAGCTGCCTCCTTCCTCTGTGTAGTTGATCATTTTCATAAATAAACAATGTGTTCTAGTGGAGTGAGCATTGACCCTAGAGTTGGGAGAGAAGGCACTTAACCTTTCTAACCTCAAGTTCCTGTCTCTGAAACAAGGGGATTAGACTAGGTGATCTCTAAGGTGCCTTCCACCTTTAAATCTGAGCCTATGATCTATAAGCTCTAAGCTCATCCACTCATGAAGTCAAAAGGAGAAATTAGAGCAGAAAACAAGGAAATGGAAATTCCCCAAGGCTAAAGGAGACCTGGGCTAATACATACAGGCAAGGTTGCTCTCCAGGGTCTTAGAATGGCAACCCAAGAGGGCAGGGCCTAGAGGCGTCTAATTCTCTGCACAAAACCTAGCACAGTAGCCGTGCCCAGACAAGGTACAACACAAAAGAGAGACTGGTGACTTATTTTTCATGTAGAGGAGGGTGGAGGTGTTCTTTAAGTTTTCCAAGCAGTAAAGTCTAATGTGGCTGGAGGGTCTGACTTCTCTTTGTGGAACTGAACTCTGAAGTGAAGTTAATTCACTGTTGTTGTTGTTGTTTGTTTCAGCCTCGTCCCACTCTGTGACCCCATTTGTGATTTTCTTGGCAAAGGTACTGGAATGGTTTGTCATTTCCTACTGAGGCAAATAGGGTTAAGTGACTTGCCCAGGGTCACACAGCTAGTAAGTATCTGAGGCCAGATTTGAAATCAGGAAGAGGAGACTTCCTGATTCCAAACCCAGTGCTCCATTCACTGTGCCATCTAGCTCCCCAAGTCAACTTGAAGTCAATTCTAGAATTGTTTTTTCTTGCTTAAGCTTAGATCATATCCTACAGCCTGGAATCCAGATACTATATCTCTAGGATTTGTGATTTTGCTAAGTGTGACACAGATTTTAACTCCTCTCTACCTTTTTTTTTTTTAAAGCAATTGGGGTTAAGTGACTCCAGGGTCACACAGCTAATAAGTGTCAAGTGTTTGGCCAGATTTGAACTCAGGTCCTCCTGACTTCAGGGCTGGTGCTCTATCCACTATACCACTTAGCTGCCCCTTCCTCTCTACCTTTTTAAGTGACCTTGAAGTACTTGTAGCGTTACAGGATTTGGAGTGGCCAAGAACCTGAGAGATCTAGTTCCAATACCTTCATTTTACCAAGGAGGAAACTGAGGCTCAGAAAGGTTGAGTGGCTTGCCTAAGGTAACACAGCTACTAAGTGACAGTGCTGAGATTAGAACCTGGACCCTCATTACCAGTTCACTGCTCTTCCAGTTCCACCATATAGCTCCTGTGGCTTAAAATATTGATCACAATCATCAGCTTTCTGGTGATGATCAGTTAGTAATGATGAGTTTCTCCAGAGTTAGCTAGACTAATCCTTGAATGCCAGACATACAGACTGTGCTCATAGTCAAAGCATTTCCAGCTTGATAGGACTTGCAAGAGCTTATGGTTCACTTCCTTATGGAAGCCAGGGTCCTTCCCACTCCAGGATGAAGCATCCGGGAGACTAGCTAGCTAGCCACATTAATACAGTGCTTTAAGGTCTGCAATGCCCTTTACATAACCTACCTCATGTGATCCTTAGAACAGACCTGTTAAGGTAGGTGATATTATTATCATCCCTGTTTTGCAGATGGGGAAACTGAGTCTGGAAGGTTAAATGACTTGTCCAAGGTCACACAGCTAGTGAAAGTCTGAGACAGAATTTGAAATGCAGGTCTTTCTAATTTTGATAGGTGGTGCCGTGAATGGAGTACCCAGCCTGAAGTCAGGAAAATTCAAATCTGGCCTCAGACACTAGTTGTGTGACTCTAGGCAAGTCATTTTACTCCTTTTGCCTCAGTTTTCTCATCTGTACAATGAGCCAAAGAAGGAAATGGCAAACCACTCTAGTATTGTGCCCAGAAAAGCGCAAATGTGGTCACAGAGAGGCTGACAGACTGAAAAATCACTGATTAACAGCAACTTCCTAACTTTACACTGACCTACCTACTCCCTCAGAAAGGTACTTTACGCAGTGTTAGCAGGGGAAGAGATCTTTAAGGTCATCAGGCCTAATTCCCTTGCCTTACTAATGATGAAACTGAAGCCCAGAGAAATGAAGTGATTTGTCTAAGATAAAAGAGCTGGTCATTTTGTCTAAAATAAATGACAGGGTCAGGATTCGAACCCAGTCTCTGATTCTAAATTCTATTTCCATTATGCCATATTGCCTTTTTCATATCTAGGATGTGTAGGAGCAACTTCATGACTAGACAAGCCCCCACTGAGTTTTGATGTGATTATATGCATATATCGTATTTTATTTCTATATATTAGGCAGTTGGATGACTCAGTAGAGGCTTAGGACCTGTAGTCAGGAAGACCTCAGTTTAAATCCAGCCTCACATACTTATTAATTATATGACCTTGGGGCAAGGCACTTAACCTTTGTCTGCCTCGGTTTCCTCATCTGTGAAATAGAGATAATAATAGCCCCCACCACCAAGGGTTGAGAGGATAAAATGAGATCATATTTGTAAAGTGCTTTGCAAACCTTAGAGCTCTATATAAATGCTAGCTGTTTTTATTATATCTCCCTTATCACCTGTCAGGGTGCCTGAATTTCTACCATTACAAATTCAT